TATATTCATCATCTATTTGGTAAATCTTTCAACTCCAACTTTAATGTTCTTTTTACACTCCTTGCACTAGTCATTGTAGCTTGAGCAGTCATGTAGCTGTTTCTTTGAGCAATTGTTGACTAATTTTTAAGTATTTGAAGCAAAAAAATCATTGGATTATTGGCCCATTAATACTTTCATATAAAAAAGTCAATAAAATATAAAGTTTATTGATATTAATGATAAAATATCAGTTTCTTACTTTTGCCTAGAATAATAGCAACAGTGATTGTATGACAGCCTTAAGGATTTAAAAAACATAATTCTCTGGAATGTAAAAGAGATTTGATATACAGAAGATACTAAATTTTCAGATCAGCAAGGAACAGCTATAGAAAGACTGAAGTCAGAGTACATCCACAACTGGTTACAAGATGTTTGCAAGACTCACTTTGAAGTCTTTGTTTCCTGCCTCATGCCACACCCTGTAGAATATGCAAGAGTCGGTGGCCACTGGTAAGACTATAGACCATTAGATTTTCCTGGAGTTCAAAAAGAAGATATTTATTTCTGTATGAATGAAAAGTTATAAATTGTACCTTAGCAGAAAAAAGAGAGGAATGAAATCATTTTAATTTTGATTAAAGTGCTTCTTATGATTATGAACAATTTGAAGATTAAATGATCAGTCATTTGAATATTAAAGATAAATGATAAGTGGATGATTAGTACAGGATGTGTAGCATAATTTATAGTATCTTTATAAAGGTATAGAAATGAAGGACACATACTAATACTGATCAAGCACAATGTGCACACAGAAGTATACATGCACGCAAATGCACACACATACACATACTCATACTCATACTCATACTCATGCTCCTACTCATACGCATACACATATGCAGGCACATATGCATACACATAAACACACACACACAAAGACACACACATACACACACAGATTCGCACACAGATACGCACACACAAACACACACACACACACACACACACACACACACACACACACACACACACACACACACACACACACACACACACACACACACACACACACACACACAAACACACAAACACACACAAACACACATACAAACACAAACACACATACAAACACATGTACATATATGCATGTAGATACATGTCATGGCACACAGACAAACACACACCTATGCACAAACACCCATGTACACCCCCTCCCCCAACCCACCCTAGACACATGCACTACTCCTTTTTTTGTGTCATATTAATATACGTTGAGCTGTTATTGCCCTTTCCACAGGGATACACTTGCAACTCGTACGGATCACATCAAGGAAGGGTTCAATAGGTTGTTCTGTCTTGTTCCCTACGAACTTATTACTGTCCAAGTGTGGGACCGTGTCATGCCGAACTGGATGGAGGCCATTCACAATGAAATCCCTGAGGAAGAACTTACTGAGCTGAAAATAACCTTAAGGTATGTAGAGAAGCTGCCATGAATTTAGAAGTGCATGAATTCTGTTCTGTGAATGGTTTTTCTTCTTTTATTATTGTATTATTTTGTCTCTTTCTGTTTTTTCTCATTTTCTCTCTCTCTCTGCCCTTATCTTTTTGTGCCTTTCCCTCTCTCTGCCATTCCCCCTCTCTGCCTTTCCCCCTCTCTGCCTTTATCCCTCTCTGCCTTTCTCTCTCTCTCTCTGATTTTCTCTCTCTCTCTCTCTGCCTTTCTCTTTCTCTCTTTCTCTCTTTCTCTCTTTCTCTCTCCCCCCCTCCCTCTCCCTCTCATCCCCCATCCTCCCTCTCCCTCTCATCCCCCTCTCATCCCCCTCACTCTTTCTCTCCCTCTCCGTCATTCTCTCTCTCTCTCTCTCTCTCTCTCTCTCTCTCTCTCTCTCTCTCTCTCTCTCTCTCTCTCTCTCTCTCTCTCTCTCTCTCTCTCTCTCTCTCTCTCGTTTATTGATGGAAATAATGCAAAAGCCCCTTACTAAATGCCAAATATGTCTAGTCACCCTCCAAGAGGTTTGTGACAAGTTTTTTCTATTACCCTGTCCTTCACCAGAAATGCTCACGACGGCAAGTTCACATCACCTTGGCCCACAGCCAGATTTTCCCATGACGGCATATTCATGTCACCTGCCCCTCAAGCTAAATTTTTTCATGACATGATAGTAATGTCATCCCGATCACTGGTGTTAATACAGTAGCAGCACCAATTTCCCAGGTTATCCATTTCTGGCCAACAGAATTCATGTAATGAGCACTTGATAATACTCCCCTGAACTCAAAAAAATGTATCCTTTATCCGTAAAGCATTGTAGACCACCAGTCATTTTGATTAGAATCAATAGCACTATTCCAATCAATAGCACTATACCAACCACTACATTTTGAATGATTTAGTGGTTCTGTACTACACTGATAGGCTATCTTTGGTAGCTCAAGCTGAAATTCTGCTTGCTTTTTCTGACTTGAACCAGACATAGTTCAAGCAATATCACCCTTTTGGCTAGGTGGAGGTACACTTTTTGGGGGAACTAAATTTAAGAGTTCTTTGCATAGATCCCGTTTATTTTTCTATGAGCATGTGATTGTAATGAAACCAGTATGAGTGGCCACAATTAGTGGTATACCTTTATTGTGATTTCTGAATTTCAGTTTTTTTTTTGTAGCATTTATGTTTTATTTTTATTTTTTCAGATTGTGTTTTAGTCTATTATGCCTGCATGATTGTAAGTTTTTTATCATTTACTAAGCTTTGTAACTGATATTGGAAATGGTGTTTTGTTCATATTCTCTAATGTGGTTTTGAACTTTTAGTTCTACTTTTTTTGTTGGTAAAACAATTTTGAGAAAATGGATTAATGCGGCTATAGATAGATCTCAGATTAAGCAACAAATTTAACTTCTGTTGAATTTTTTCTTTCAGCAAACTCCTGGATACTGATATGAGCCCACTTGGATTTGATGCTTCTCAGATGTATGGTTTTCTGAGTGTTCGATTCATCAATACACCAGCCTCAGTGCAGGAACAAACTCTTTCATGGCTTCAGGTATTTTATTTCTGTCTTATGAATTTATTACCTCTTGTATAGTAGGAGGGTCAGTGAAATACTATTGTAAATTGTAGAACACTAATTGTCACTATACTCACAAGCTATTGAAAAAAAACAAAAAACAATCCTGGTTGGTATGTGCCTCCATGGCACACATTTACAACCTGCTCTGATTGGTGTATGTCAAACATTTGTTCACTTGTTTGACCATGACTGCAGTCAATGAGGAGTTCCATCCCCTTGAAAATAGGCTAAAAGTTACAGTTTAGCCTTATTTCCTGGTAATCATATAAACTACAGCCAAAATCATAGAGTGGGGAAATTATGTTTCCTGTGCTGTGTGATGTAGAGGTATCATTTTCATCTAGCAGTCTTGCTGACCTGTGTTCAAAGCTCGCACTGCCAGTGGATGGTACCCCTAGCCACTTATATAATATGAAATATTCATTTTATTGCATTAACTATATTGAGAAAATGTGTGCTCAGTATATTGTATTTATCATTACAAATATTTATGAAGACTATGAGCATTATAAATGACTGATCTTTCAAATGGATTTGGCTCTTTGCATAATGTAAAAAATCACAAAGTATTGGATAAGTTGGATATTGAATAGTATTATATATCATTCACTATAATACTGTGCAAGTGGTTTACAAAGTTGCTCCTTCCCCACCCCAAAAAAGCTGAATAATATAACAATAGCTTCAAATACAAATGATTCTATTTTCAGTATAATCAGAGGTGCTGTTTTTTTCAGATCCTGTCTTCACTGAATATAGTGATTCCAATGAATCTCTTGCTGACCATGTTTAGTGATGGAGTGTCTTCCCTCTGTAACCCTCCAGCTCCGGCAAGAAAGACTAGCACCAGTAATAGAACAGATTCTGCAATTTTAGGTGGGTCTCTCTTGCTATAAACCATAACTTTCTCTCTGGACTAACGTTCGCTAGCTTTCTGTTTGTGATGCGTATATCGTTATTTTTTGATCGTCTATCATCTTGAGGGGGGGGGGGGGGAGAAGAGAGAGAGAGGGGGAGAGAGGAGATGTAGTAGCGAGGAGGGAGGGGGGGGAAGACGAGAAGAGAGAGAGAGAGCCAGAGAGGAGAGAGAGAATGAGAGAGAAGCGATGAGAGAGAGAGAGGACCGATGAGAGAGAGTAGAGAGAGAAGCAGAGATGTATGAGAAGGACAACGGAGAAAGAAAAAGAAAGAGGAATAGAACAGAGCACAAAGAAAAAGAAAGAGGAAAGAAAGAAAGAAGCACGAAATATGAAAAGTAAAAGAAAAGAAAGAACGAAGAATGCGATAAAGATGGCGAACTGGGAGGCAAGAATTCAAGAATATCCAGCTAGATAAATCTTACCTCCCTAGCCTCCCCCCTGCAATCCATACCAGCCATCACTATCTACATCTCTCCCTCCCACCCTCCCTCCCTCCCCCTCCCACTTTCCATCCATCCATCCATCCATCCATCAATCCATTCCTTCCATCCTCCCCCCTCTCTCTATCTTTCTCACTTTCTCTTACACTTTCCATTGTAGAATAAATATCACTTACATCATGGAAACTCCCTTTTCCCCGTAGAGCCTGTGGTTGAGGATGACTCTCACAGCAGCTCTGGCCTGTCTGAAGACGAGAAGCCACCATCAGACCACCCAGAAGATCACTACTCTGACCCAGAACTCAATCTAACCTGTTTTGTGCTCATGTTAGATGTGCTCTTCAAACAGGTATGACATTATGCTAGAATAGTTTAGAAGGTGGGCTTCCTTAACTCCTACATCCAGATGAAAAAATTTGGCCTTAGGGGTGTTGACTTGAACATGCTATTATGGGAAATTTTGGCTTAAGGCCTGGGTTATGGGAACTTAACATTATAAGAATTTTGGCTGAAGGCCGGGGTAACCGGAATGACGCCACAAGTGTGCAAAGCTCTTGGAGGATGATTAGTGGGTATTT